CTTGTAGAGTTCTGTCGAAGCCATTTTAAAGAAGACAAAGATTATTTTGTTGGAAAAAATGTAAATATGGAACTTTGGTACACCGATATGATTTTTAATTTAATCAACAAACAGAGTCAGACTTTAATATTTTCACCTAATGTGTCTACCTTGTTTGGATTGTGCTGAGTGCTGGCAGCAGAACAACACCAGAGGATGCTGTGGTTCTCGCTTACGTCTTCACAAAAACATAACCACATAACCTGCACTGCAGGAACAGAGCCAGACACACTGATCACTCAGATCACATTTACTGTGGTAAATACAAACTTCATATCTTAGTCACCTTAATCTCACAAATTAATGCATTTCAACTTTTGCAAAAACCACACAAAATGAATCAGCTCGGGTTAATGGACAGCTTTAATTGTTGATGTCTAAACTTTGATCATATGCTCACATTGAATCAGTCAAAAACATGCAAGTGACCCAGTTTAGTATAGTCCCATGAATAATTCAATAGAATAACAGAAAGTATTTAGGAAATGTAATGTCAAGTTTACATTACTTCAAGTTCTTGTAATGTTTTGATTTTTATTTCTTCTCTTGCTTAAAAAAGAAGGCTCGTCAAATGCTTTAATATGACTTCATCTTTTCCTGGCCTTTACTTGATCATGCACTGATTGCCTTTTCAGACAAACAGCATCGGAGAGTCTGTCACATTTGACAAAGAAGGGTCTGGTGGTAAAGCGTCTTGCTCAAGGCCACCTCTGTGTGTGATTCAGGGAAGTGACAGCATATCTCAATCATTTCTCCATCCAGAGATTTGAACCATCAGCTTCAGAGCAGCTACCACCTACCAGCTTCAAACCTTTCAGCTGCCGCTGCCACAGGATGATATACTGCCATGGGAGCCTGTTCATCTCCACTCAATGCGTGTGAGTGGCTACTGTATCTTTTCAATACATGTTCCAAATGATATGGCCATAACAGATGCAGGTCATGAATCAAAGGTCTTAAACCACCCGGCTAGCTGATCTGTTCCACAGGTGCTACTGTCCAATCTCCTCTAGATACACAACAGATATACACACTGTGTAACCAGCTACACAGTCCACGTCTCTGCTCCCCTCTGCGTCCTTTCTACCTGATGCAGGTCCACATCTGAGCCTCGCATGGACCACACTGACTATTCTGGGCGTGTGTGAACTGAGCTCTTGAACGCAATGACCCCATCAAATCAACAGAGCCTGAAAGAAAGGAGAGGAAAAAAAAAAAAATATGTGAGCGAAACTTCTGCACAGCATATCAAAGCATAACTCTTGTACCCTTTTAGTTGGCCCAACTCAAATTAGACAAGCATAAAAGTCTGCGAGTGCTTGAAAAATAAGGACCACACATGTTTCAAATATGCTGAATTTTAATTGATAATAAATTGTGTTTTTGTAGACCCCAGAGTATGCATTGAAGTGGTTAGAGGTGTTTTTTTAGTAGACACAGGTTGGAAAATCAGAAGAGAAGAAAAATAATTGATGGAATTTGTGGTTGTTTTCAGCAGTTTTGAGCTTGATAGTTGAACTAGTTCCCTCAGCTGAACTGTTCTTTGTACCTGTGAAGGTCTGGCCTCAATCCAAGCAACATTAGAGGGACGATAGTGTGCACATACACTGATGAGGTGGTATCTGGAACCAAGAATGTAGCAGCAGATCCTTCATATCTGGAAGTTGTGAGTTTACTTTGTATTAAACTTCTTCCAGCACATCCTCAAACAACCTGTTACTGTTTCATGATTTGTCCCTCCTCAAAACACTGTCACCACCACTACTGACTGAAAGAACATCACAAGCCTAACCATTTCAAGTATGCTTCAACACAATCTGTCCATCGTACTGTAGGTCTTTACACCTGCTCATTTACTCCACATCTAACACGTTGAATCCCAGAACCGACTGTTCACATACCAACTAATATATTCCAGACCTTGACGCGTGCTATTTTTATGAGATAATCAATGCTATTTGTTTCATCTCTGAAGGGTTGTAATGTTTTGGCTCCGCTGTGTATGTACCACCCATAATCATAAAGAAACCAATGTTTCTCCATTGTGGTTTAAAGAGGGCCTTATCCAGTGCCTCCCAATGTTTTTATCTGACCGCCTAAACATTGCAAATTACGGCGCCCATGTACCTTCAAGGTTAAGACAACAACACTGAACCACAGCAACTTGTTGTTGCATCTGTCTCACTCTCATTTCCCCACTTTCAGTTTTATTCAGTTGACACAATGCTACAGATGACAGGAGGAGGATGGGAATGGGCTGCTGGATGCTGGATGCTGATATGTTGGTATACCAGTTAGGGCCACAGCTTGGCAAGTGTCCACATCTCTGGAACACTGGAAAAGCAAATACTTATTTCCTTATGCTAAAAAGAATGGATAGAATTGACACTGTTTATGTTTGTGTTTAGTGTATATGAAAAGCTCAGCATTAAAAAAATAAAAAAGGCACATTTACCATAACTCTCTTATAACCTACCTATTACCTCCTTTACTGACATCTTTCATCCTTGGGTTCAATTTGAGCCCTGCAATTTAAACCTAGAGAAAATTAGCATAATTAAAACTGCTACCCAAGTTTATGTGTAAAGATAATAGGAGGGTAAAGTCAAAATCATAATGTGTCAACATTTTAAGACAGTTATAAAATGCTATGACACTGTAGATTTATACTAAGTTTGATACTAAATTAGTGCAATTTTGACTTACTATCTCAAAATGTTAAATCATTAACTTATAACTTTCATTCTGTTTTTAATCATTTTGACCTACTATTTCTTAACTTTGACTTATTTTGACTAATATTATTTTTCTGTCATGCAGCTTTTCATCTGTGTTTTTTGTTTCCTGGCAGAAATATTGGTTTCATGTATTCACACAATAAATCTAAATACAAAAACAGACAGGCATTAGTATACCTTGGTGATGAATAAATTACAGGGATTTACAGACTTATAACCTAAAAGATGAATAAACTAAAGCTAGCCTACTTGTAGTTACATAATGTATGCACAGCATGTACAAACCAATAGACTGTATTATTGCTTGTGCTACACCTGGAAATACAAATCCTTGTGTGGCCTCTTGGAATCTCATAGTGCTCTGCCCTTTGGTAACATACCACTGCCCATATCTATGAATAACCCCAAATCATATTTTTATTACTTTACATTCATATTTTTTAACAGGAGAATTGTTTTGTGTCCTGTACTCACACGGTCGGTCTCATGCTAGATTACTGGTTCAAATTCTGGAGCAGATTCTATCATATATTCAACAAAACAGAAGAAAATAATCAATGAACCTCTGACAATACTAGACCAAAAACATCTACGTGAATGAACCAATTGAACCCAGACTGCAGACCTGAGGAGCTGATGTAATGCTGCAAGTGCAATGGAAATGTGCTATTTTGAAATGAACAAACTGTGTTCTTACGATGTATCTTAAAACCATTAAATGGCTGGCGAACTAGAGAAGTGTTGAGAGGTTTGTGTTGTTGATGTGAACTTTGTTTATATCACTTTGTGATGTGATCCAAGGTGCTGCAGATCTAATATCTTTCTGCTCCAGAGCTTCAACAGCTGCTGAAGTGCAGGTCTGAGCTCCCTGGTGGTTTTGCCAGTAAAGGAACACCGTACATGGGCTGATCTGCTGCCTCATTCGCCGCTCTGGATGGAAGAAACAGAATCTCATCTGGGATGTAGAACACCCTCGTCGAAGCCCACCAAGGCCTGTTCCTAGCAACCCAGAGACGCCTGCTGGCACGGCATGAAACACATAACTCTTGTTTGGGAGTGGATCTGGGGTTTACAGCTTGGGCTCCTTACCCAATTAGACTAGACCATGGAGGCAAAGCAAAATAGGGTGAAGTTTTTACAATGCCACAGGGGTCTTTAGAATGGATGGGTTCTGTATGGAGGTTTTTTTAGGGATGGGGTGGAGGGCAGAGTGGGCTGGGGATGTGCTATTCCCTCATCTCTTTTATCACAGCCTGTCAGAGGAGCCACACAGGTAAACCCAGCAGCTGCACTCTGTCATCCAACAGGTACAAAGGAGCCAAAACCAAGTTGAAGGTGAAGTCAGTATGTACTTATGATCCCTTTTAGCTTTCTAAAATAAAACCAGTTAGTCTGCCCTGTGATTGTGATATATTTCAGTATTACATAGACAAATAATAAAGGAAGTGGAATAAAAGGACACTGAAGAAAAATATGGAATCTTTATTTTCTTCACAAATTACACAAAATTAAACAAAATTCCATTGAATTTTAGAAATGATGTGAGGTATAAAACAAACCAAAACAAATGAAAAGCTTACATGATAATAAATAGCCAAGAAATAAGAGAAAATAGACAAAAACAAAACATGACATAATGGGAGAAAATGCAGTAGATAAAAAATACATTACAACTCTTTCATTTGGATGAACCAAATCTACCTTGTCAGATTGTACGTGCAACATCCTGCACAGGTGATGTGTGAAATACAGACTAAATGTCTGAAGTTAAAATAAGGTAAGTAAAGTAAGTTTCAGCTAGAAAGCTGGGAAATAATACAATCAGAAGACAGTTACATTATGTTCATTATCATCAAACTTCTTTGTGTCTTGTGCTTCAATGCCTGCAAGCTGCATTTCTGTTGGAGGCAGGAGAGGGCATGAGGAAGGACAGAGTCTGGGGGTTAACGTAACTAGAAAATCATGATGGATGTCTCCTGTGTTCACATACATGGTATTTCAATCAACAACACCAATGGCCACACCATAACAAGAAGGCTCTGCTGCTAAACAGACCACATGACAACATACACAATGTCATATGACAGGATTTCTCATAAGTAACTCCTGAAAACTTTCAGAAACAGAGACAATTCCAATAAATGCAACAGTAATGGCCTCTAAAAATCAAAACATTACTGCAGTGAATGTCTGGCTTGTTGTTCCTGGCTCTCAACTCCAAACCTACTGAGGGCTGTTGGTGATCGCTTTGAGAATGTCACATGTGTTCTTAGAGATGACCTCTTTCAGTTTCCGTACCCGGCGAGGGCTGGAAGCTCCCACATAGCTCTCAGGCTGAAGGACGGCCATGCCGTCATTAACGTTGCCCATGATGATGACCTGTCCCTCTGCAGCAGCGCCCGTGATGTTCGGACATGGGCAGTTCCAGTCCATGTTGAGAAAAGTGACCTCAAGAGGCTCTTTGCCAAAGAAGCGGAGACCCATCTTCTCGTCTTTAAGGATCTCTTCCACAGACACCAGGGCATGACCTGAATCCTTCTCCTCTGTCAGCTCTGTCATACGACCCAGGATGACGAAGTCACTCCGGCAGAAGCTTGTCACCATTTTGCCTCTCGGCTTGCAGGCCTTGCAGTGGTGGTTCTTTGGGTAGGGGCACATCTCCTCACAGGCTTCTTTAGATTCAAAGTTGTTGTCATTGCCCTCGCAGCCTCCGTAAATGAAGGACTGACACTGCCGCAGAGTGCTGCTGTAGGCCCACCGTGGCTCGTACGCCTTACAGGGGCCCTGCAGGCTGGGGAGCCCGCAGGGTCCTGATAGCTCTGGACCGCAGCACTGCATGCACTCTTCGTATGTGTCAAACACCTTCCTGGACGGCTGGCTGTTGTTGTTGCTGTGGCAGTGTGTAAAGGAAAAGCAGTTATTGGTCTTGGGCTCATAGTACCAGCTGACTTTTTCCATCTCACTCCCACAATCCTCTGAGCTATCAGGGGGCTTCACACACTCCTCAGGCAGGCAGCGGGTCACATTCTTGGGCTCAGGAGTTTTAAGCACCTCTGTGGGCAGCACACTGAGCGGGTGGTTGGCCTTCACAGAGCCCGATGGGTTTTGAGCCGAACAGGTGTAGACACCTGAATCGTGAGGCTGGACGTTGTAGATGACCAGCTGACCGATGTTTGTGACCACCATGTTCCCCCGCACATGGTTAGGCCTCATGATCACCCTCTCAGCTCCATCTGACAGCTGCTTCTCCCAGGTGATCTCCGGGCGGGGCCGACCTGTTACGTCACACAGGAAGCTAGCTGTGTCCCCCACATTCACAGTCTGTTGAGCTGGGCTGCTGACCACCACGGGGGGCTGAGGCTCAGTGGGAGGGGGGATAGTCGCCTGCAGGGGAGCAGTGGTGGGACGAAGAGTGGTGGCCTGGGGCAGTGAGGGGCTGGTGTTCGGCCAGGTGAGGTGAAAGCGACACGTGACAACAGAGAGGGTGATGCCTTTGGAGCAAGCCTCTGCATCCATGTAGCACTTGTTGTAGTATGTCATGCCGTCAGAGGCACAAGTGAAGTGCGGCTCCCTCTCGCAGCGATCCCGACATTTACACACCGGCTGGCCGTCCCAGATGTCACACTCAGACCCCTGCTGGGTGCACATAAAACTGGCACAGGTCGCTTCCTTGGGCATTCCCACGGGGCCCTTCTCTTTGTCCATATAACGGGCTGCCACACAACTCCGATTCCCACAGACATTTTGGCAACATTTCTCAAAGGACTCGCACTCCTGTAAGAGGAGAAGAGACAAATTACAGATGCAGGATTCTGAATGCATGTTACAGCAGACTGTAATACAGAGATCAAACAAAACTTTACATTACACTAGAGAATTGAAGAGTGAAAAACAGGCAAAATATAACAAAAGCATTTGTTTTAATAGCACATTTACAAATTATTTAGATAAACTATCAACCTAAAAGGTTACTCTGACATTACCTGATCAGATTCACACTCTCGTGTGCAGGTGCTCATGGCGTCCACCCACAGGTTAGGGTTCATGTCATTGGGGCACATGCCCGCGTGGGAATAGATGATGTGGGACAAAACTCCGACATGGAGCTCCATCCACACTGACATACACGCCAGGAACCAGATCCACCGTGGAAACAACATCCACCACATCTCCAGAGCGTAACACAACTCAACGAGGGGTAAAGATGAAAAATATCTGTGTACTTCTGCGTTCCGGCGGTGAACGAAGTCCACTTCTTTGAAAATAAAAGCTGGTGGGGAAAAAAAAAGTCAAATGCACATCACAGGTGCCTGCGTGTGCAAGGCAGCCTGATCAGAGTGACAACTGATAAATCCAGTTCGGTTGCAGCGATGATGCTCTATTTATACTGTCGATCTGCAGCCATCACCGTAAACAAGCCTCGCCAACCAACACACAACATGACGGCTTTGGGTTCCTCCTCAGATGTTGGAAGAAGCTTTTTTAAAAAGTCAGTGCTAAGCTTTGGGCTGGAGCTGGCGGGGCACCTGCCTGTTAAAAGAATTGCTGGTAACCCCTTTAACCCTTTGCGGGCTTCAGCGGCGCCAGAGCGCACTGTGCGTAAATACGCATGGAGAGAAAAGTCTCAAAAAACTTGCTGCATAAAATAGCAGATTATTTAACACATGGAAAAATTAAAAACACATGTTCGCAGTCATCACAGTCAGAATGTTTCAATAAAACGTTGTATGATCGGTATTTTATAGGTGTAGCAATTAAAAATGATGCGGCGCGCACAATGACTACCTTAGTTTAGGTTTAGTATAAACTTCTATGTACTTTAGAATTAAAAATATATATATTTTTACTGATGCAGGAACGAAAAAAAACTTTTAGAAAACAACTTTAGTTTAACGAAGTACTCCTAAAATAATAAAAGATCACCCTTAACATTTTCAGTGTTCATCATTTTAACACATTTGTTTGTTTGTTTTACCCCAACATTTTAAAGGGTTCCAGGAGCCTCCTTTTTTGTAGGGGAATTTTACTAAATGAGGGTTTCTATTTAAAAGACATCAAATAGAATAGATTGTTGTTATGTATGAGTTTTTGTGTTTTGTAAAAGAACATAATTATTATTTTGACAGTAATGGTGGTAAAACTCACATTTATAATGCAGTGAACAAAGAAAACAAGAGTAACTACATTAGCTACATTACAATAATAACAATAATAATAAATACAAGAAATTTCATTCAGGCTTTTGTATAATTATATAAAGTTTTTAATCCACTCTGTCTGACACATGTCTTAGACAGCAGCAGCAGTAAATATGATCCAGTCCAGTGACTGAATGAAACTGAGTTTTAAAGAACATACTGAAATAAATTTCACACTCACACTGAACTGGAATATCTCACCAAACTCTACACACACATGTAGTGTACAACCTCAGTGCAGTGTGCACTTTACGATACTGTAATCTCATTAGCACTGGCATGGTCAAACCAAAGTTTACAAATGCACAGTGCACTTTATGACCACTGCTGTTGTCAGTTTAAGTCTGCTTATTCATTTAAAATTGCTTTAGTTCTTCTACATTGCGTACATTTGGTTTAGGAGGATCAGCAAAGTAAGAATTTCATTGTACGGTGTGACTGTCTAGTTTTCTGTGACAATAAACCTTTTGAATATCTTAAATTTTGAAAACACTGAGTGAGCTGATACATACTTAGAAATTACTCACTAGGCTCACTGCAATAGTGAAACGGGTTAAATCAAAACCACAGTAAGTTAAATCAATTAAGTAATTTTAAACATGCACAAATATATTTCTATGTTTTACATACAATGCGTGTACAATAGTGTTTTGCATACATGTGACCAGTGATACGTGACTGCTGTGGCACAACAATTTCTATTTTTTTCAACAACATTCATCAGTGGACTTTATATTTACGGTATACATCCTACAAAGCATGTCTTTGTACACAGGATTAGTTGTGTCAGTACAAGCACTTTGTGTGGATTTATGGAAATTTACAGACTCATTCAGAAGGTGTACAAATTCCAGAAAGAAAAAAAAAAAAAAACTGTCTCTGCTGCTGAAAATACAGACGGTGGGGCATCAGACTGACAAGAAAAAATCTTAATTGCAGCATTGCAACAGGTTATCACCCAACACTCAAGTATTTATTTAAGAATGTGGCCTCATTTCCAGGACTTAAAATAGCAAACATGACTCCAGCTTTGAATGCACGCCTTTACAAATCTGACTCGTAACCCAGAAGAGGTGAGATGAGGACAGTACAACTTAAAAAAATGTACTTTGAAGATCAGGTGATGTGCTCCGCAGTGCGCGTGTGCGTTGGCACAGCGTTTAATGAATGAAGTTATTATTATAATTTGCCCTGCTCGTTCCTGCCCTGTGTAAACTACTTTGATTGTGTTTCTACACAGTTCAGCTGAGGACAGGCCAGTTATTAGACCGCCTTCCAGTCTAATAACACTGGACTCAAGCTGCGCCCAAGTGTGTGTGCAGGAAATTGTTTGTTCTTGATGCAGACATGATGATTTTTGTGTAAATTTGTGTATTTATGTGTGTGTGTCTGTGTGCATGACAGGCAAAAAAAAAAAAAAAGCCTTGTTTATCTGGAGATTTCAGAGCTTCCAGAGCTGCAGGTCTCAATCCTGTAAGACGGATTATTTTAGCTCTGTTTCACTGCTAATGACGAGAAACTGTACATATTCTGCATATAAGATTATCAGCTTGTTTTAACAGCTATTTACTGTGTGGGAGGGTTCTCATATCTGGTCACTTTCCACACAATATAAAGCCTGTGTTTTATATAATTACTTGTATACACACACACAAACACACTTGTTGTTGAGTGTTACATCAAACAAAACATCCCATCATGTCCTCAGGACACGATGAAGTCAGCTCACCACAGTCTCAATCTGTCATTCACAAATGAAACGTTTCTTACACATGAATAAACTCCTGTAAAACCAAGTGATGATGGAAACACGTTGGGGCTGGAAATACATATAAAATGATAGGCTTGTTCAGTGGAATCAAATAAAACCTGTAGGAGCTATGAAAAGCACAAAATTATTGAATGGCACGCCCCCAGCCAGAGGTTACTTGAGGATTCAAGCTTTGATAACAGTTTCCCGACTTAGACTGCAGAATTAAACGCAGCATGAGTGAGTTTTGATGAGGTATAAGATCATTTCAGATTCTTTGATTTTCTGCCCTTTCGCCACCAGTTTCCTGAGCCCAGTGTCACTGTAGAAACCCAACTGGTTTAAAGCACCTGATAATACGATTACTGTACAATTCAGCAGTGAGCATTTGTAGTGCAAACACTAGTTTCGTTTTAGTCTCACATAAACAATTTCATGAATAATATTCACAGAACTAAAAACTAAAAAATCTACTGAGCACACAAGGATGCTGCCGATATCGTAGCATTGCAGTCAGAATGTGTCTCTTTCCTCAAACATGCTGGCTGTGTTGTCAATTTTACTGGAAATGGGACCATAAAATAAATAAAACAAATAAAAAATTGTATTCAAAAAGTCTTGAAGCGGGTAAATGAGGCCATAAATTTATTTGGTGTTTAGTGGGAAACAGATCAAATCAAGTTTAGTTACTGTTTTTTATACAGTACAATTAAAACAGTTAAACCAAAGTGCTTTCAGGTCATCTGGTGTTAGAAACTTACCAAACAAGCTTAAAATATTATGGGTAAGATCCTACAAGGTTATATATGGCCTAAAACAAATTAATCTAGCAAACTAAAATGTTAAAAAAAAAAAATACTCTAATAAATTACCTGATTTATTCAAGAATTAAAGTTCAAATCTTACAAAATTATGCATCAAAAACTCAACCAATTCAAAGGCATGGGTGCTTTGAGCTGATTGCAAACACTGATATGCTAATGTGGTGACAATAACTCATGCATAGCAGGTTTAGTATGTTTATCATCTTATATTAGCATGTTGGATTATTGAAGATAACACAACCAGCAGCTGGAAAAATAGAAAACAGCGAGCAGGCTTTGTGTTTTATAGTGTTTTATGGGGTTGTACAAAGTCTTAATATATGTCTTGTATGTCTTATAATCTATATTGCTGGTGCACCTCGGGAGCAGCTCTTTTAATTTCATTGGACTTGTATAATGACAATAAAAACTTGCTATTCTATTCTATTGTGTTGTTCAGGGACAGAATACTATAAATACCAACAAATAACATGTTTGTCAGTAAGTTTTGTAAGTGTTAGTCTTAGGGTTTGTATTAAATTAGTTTACAGACACGTTAGTCTTTGTGCTAAGTTAAGCTAATTGGGTGTTTTTGGTAGCTTCATATTAACCATGCAGACACGTTAGTCTTTGTGCTAAGTTAAGCCCATGAGGCGTATTCAGCAACTTCATATTTAAAGTACATACGTTCAAGTCTTTGTGCTAGCTGCTGTTCTTGGCTTCATATTTAGCAGCAGACATAATAGTGTTTATGCTAAGGTAAGCTAACTGGCTATTTGGTAGCTTTACCATATAGACATGCTATACTTTATGCTAAGCTAGGCTACCTGGGAAGAACCAAGGGTTGGAAGATTTATTTTTACTGTACAATAAGGTCATCTAACTGTGCGCTTTTGGTAGCTACGCGTTTCCAATACAGAAATGCTCGTCTTTGTGATATGGGAAGCTAAATGACTGCTTTTATGGACTTTATATTAACTGTACAGATATGCTATGTCTTTATGCTAATGTATGCTAACTGTCTGGTGTTGCTAGCGTTTATTTTTATTGTACAGATGTGCTAGTTTTAATGCTATGGTAAACTAAAGACGTCAGCCGAAATCATGTAGCTTTACGTAAACTATTATTTTAAATTTAAATTAATTTGTTAATTACAGTGCTGCCTTTTTGTTTATTCCACCTGGACTGAGCCGGTCTAACAGCTCCGCCTTGTTTCCAGTCTTCATACTAAGACTAAGGTACCAGGTTCCCGATAGAAGTTCCATATTTAAGCAAGAAAGCAAATACATTTCTTTCAATATGATGGGTTATTTTTGTAACTTTTGAAGACAACTGTGGGTGGCCCAAATATAGCAAAAGAACATCCTGATCAGTTTAGTATTCATAGGCATAGCATTGAGCAACACTCTGGCACATCC